TAATCAACAAGCATAAGTTCCAGTAAGTTTCCAGAGATCCTAGGACATATTCTAAAAAAGAGCATTTCCTTCCTATGTTCCTCCACTATTGCCAGATGCGTCCTGTTATTTAATTTCACTTATCTGTGGAACCAAACTGTCACGTATGCAGGTACACCTTGCAGTTGCGAGCAAACCAGTATCTATCTAAATACTATATGTGTGTGTGCAGGCACCCTGTGTGTGTCCTGACCTCAGTGCATGCCCTTACTCAACAAACAAAAGACATTTCAGAAGCATACTGCCTGACTCAGTTTGAGTCATGTGTTGCCAGGCAGACTCCCGTGCAACATGAGGGCACACAGGCCTTTATTCTATTTCTTCATAATATGTGGTGAATTGTAAGCATGTATGCAGTCTTTCATCAGCCCAGTAGGTATTCCAATTGATCGATCAAACTCACGCTGACCGAAGCTTCCGACCATTATCAACTGAGCTTCAACTCTTTAATTAGCACAAAAATGCAATGTGTGTATAACATGATTACAGCTGCACCTGCAGTGAAAGATTATTATGTAATTCAGCTCACACCTGAAATACAAACTTTAATGTAACATCAACAGTTTCAATAAATGCTCTAATCAAATGATGATAACTCATAAGTGATAATAAACCATAAGTGATGCAGCAGTAATAATAATGATCATGAATAGTAACAGTAAAATAATTTTCTCATCCCGACATTATACTTACTTAATACTTAGAGTGATGAATCATCTGACTCAAATTCATGACTCAAAGATGCAAGTTTAGTTTAGTGAGTTTATTTGCAGTGTAAGTGTGAGATGTGCTATTTACAAAATCTTTCTGAGGTTATCAGTTAAAAAGTCCATTATTTAGAAACAGAAGGGAGGTCCCATGAATCAGAGTCCTCTGCTTCTCCTGAACAGAATCTCTCATCTCCCCCAAGTGACGCACACTCCGCAGTTAGAGCACAAGTGCTTGACTGAACCAGGTGCATCCAGGATAGGGCTGATATCCCAGCAGGATCCTGCCCCTGTCAGGTAGGTAGACACACCCACACACAGCAGCAAGCACACTGAAGAAAAGGAATAGCGAGAGAAAACAAAGTGGAGGGAGGAAAATTGTCGCGACGCACTTGAGGACTGTGACAGATAAATAGATAGGTGACATTTGTTTAAATCTAATTCAGATATTGAAGCTATTATGCATTGTTTCTAGGGGACAGCAGGGGATTAGGTGGGGGAATGATTTATTTCATTTGAAAGATAACTATTTTTCTCTTCCTCTTCTGTCTTTTCAAATAGCATAAGAACATAGCAACAATAACTATGATGGATAAAGTCCAATGGAATTTAAGTGAGTACTAAATTAACCCTTACATTTTTTTTCTTACTTTATTGTTTCATTTCATTTGAATTCATTGCGATCTTACCTGACTGAGGCTGTGGCTGCTCAACAGCAAGAAACCTGTTTTGTTAGGCAGTTGTGAATCCCGGTATCTGTCTTGTAAATGTTGGAAAGTGCAATACTCAATCTGCTGAAAGTGCACATTCCCTTTCTTCAGTTCCTCAAACACATTCCTGTCTGCGGCAATGATTGAAAAGTATTCTACTTCTGCTTT